ACAGCGAAAGGTTGTACAGTTTTCAGAAACGCACCGGAATAGGTTGTGTGCTTAATAGCCATAATGATGTATTAAAACAAACAATATTAGATAACTTGTTGAAATATATAGATGACGGGAAACAGGTAGCCCAGATGTTTAAGCAGGCCGCCCGTCTACCGTTTGTGTTTTTTTTTATGTAACCCATACCTTTCCACAATAAATATATTATTTTATCCCTAGCCAAAATGTGTTTTTCCTAAGTGCTAATCATCACGTTACTGATTATCATGATATGACGTGTCAGTGTTAGCAGTGATCTGACCTCCACGTAAGATGTTATCGACTATTTAGTCACATCATGACAAATCTACAACGTTAAGATTAGGCTTATTATCAGAGTTACACTAAGACCGAGCTAGGCCATGATTCTGAAAAATCTTACTGTGGCGCCAGCAGGAAGTTCGTTCAGTTGTACAGATAGATCATCATTGGAACGCTTCCACCATGTCACTTAAGGCACCTCATCCAGGTGTTCAAGCGACCATCAGGTTCAATACAAAACAACTTTACTAACCTGGTAACGGTAAAGACGTTACGGACTGTATGTGCTCTTACGTAGCTTGCCAAGAATCGAAGGCGGATCAAAACAAGGAGTATTTCTGAGACTGTTCTTCAGTTATTAACGCTCGTTTTGGTCACGTCCATTTGAGCTGTTATGTGTTTCGCCAGAATTTAGTGGACACACTTTTCTTTTTGTGTTAAAACGTCAAGATAGTTCGATTCATCGTTTTGCGGTGGTCTGAAGGTAAAGCGGTTGTGTGAATCAAAAACGTTAAATAATTTTTTGGTGAATAATACTTGTGTCCTAGATCCAACATTTTAGATTTGACTTCTTAACTCATATGGAGCTTGCTTGAAATTTGAAAAGAATTTTTGTAAGAATTTATTATAACTAAGCATATTCGGTCAGTTGAAATACCAAGAACTCTTACTAGAATATAGGTCAAACAGAAAAGCACAGGGTGAGACATTACCCAGCTCTTTTTACCGCTATATGAGACGTGGGAAACATCCCTCTATTCTATCAACTGGATATAGATTGCTACTTAAGTGTAAGGTGGAAGTTAAAAAAAGTCCTTCAGACATTTTTATGTGCGGATTATTTTACAAGATTTCCAAAAGCAGTGACTACTAAGAACACTGCCTCTGAAATCACGATCCACCTGTTTTTCAGACACTGGACTTCAAACTCCGACCGCGCTTAAACTAGTTTTACGAAAAAGTAATGTTAGATTGAATCCAGAATCCTTCACGATTTGATTAAACTCTTATGAGCCAATGATTTTCAAGTGACGCTTTTTGTTCACTACCCACCGATATGGTGGACTGATTTCGAGAGAAAAACTTCTCAAACATCCAACAACTGCGGCTAACATATTCTGGTGTAGCCATACGATCCCCTAAGCATCCCAACGACCATGGTGGATAAGACATTTTTTGTAGAACTTGCCCTTGCATTCCATTCATTTGTGGAGTTGTGCAGCTTCTTCATTAGACCGTTTGCTCTTGTCATATATGAGTAAATGTGAATTTTTACCACCCACAAACTTTTCGATAAGAAATTAATAAGGAGACGTTTCAGTATACATACATAATTCTTGTTAAACAACCAAACAACCGAAGCCCATTATTTGTAAGTACTATGATGTGTGGAGGCTTGTATATTTGTTTTTTTCACAAGATCCATTCACACACACTTGCTATGGCATAACCTTTTTCAGTACTTGCTTGGATTTTCCTTCTTTGTTTTGCAGCTCGACTGGTATGGTGAATAAATTAAAGAGGAAGGGGGGTGACACGGTTACTTGTCTGCGACTCGATGTCCGACCTATTGACTTATATTAAAACTATCAGACATAATCAAATGTAACAATCTGCCAGGACTGCTTGCCAACAGTAAGCTGCTTGGGTCAAAATTTATGGTCAGTCATGCCTTAGAATTCTCATGAATACACTGAGTAAGGTTCGACTGAAGTAGTAAGTAAACTCCTCAAATAAGAAACTTCATGAACCCTTAATATATATACTGCTAAAATTAGTTTGAGGGGGCAAATCATTTTCCGAGAGCATTTGGTCAAGCGGCTGCAACACAAAATGTAAGACATACCCCTGTCAATGTTTCTCTGATGCTGACACGATTGGTGACGTCGGTTGTTCAAACGTACTTTGTTCCTTTTGCTGCAGTTCATTGCTGCAGTTCAGTCATAGCTGGCTTCAGTCATTGTACTGAATAAAGCGAAGAGAGTCCATCAAAAATAATAGGAGCTCACGATATATTGATGAACACTAAAAAATCCTAGTCAGGAAGAGGTCTTGTATTTATTTCGTGTAACGATTATTCGGCTGTTTATTATTGTTATCGTCGCTGTTGATATTTGGGTCGAGTAACTTCCGACATTCCGTAAACTCGGTTAATAACTGACTCAGAAAGAGCTAGCGTTAGCTGTCATCCTCGATAACTCTTCCGGAAACTAAATTTCTCAGATATTATGCGCTAAGATTTAACTATTTACATTTAACATAAATCTTCCCTCTCATATAACCTAATATATAATTTTACTGGTTTGAGACAATTACCTTAGGAGGTTTTTGAATAGTAGTATTATCATAAGTTGCAGATTCAGCACCTCTTCCAGATTAGTTTTACACCCACCGAACTATAGATATATAGTGGACCGATATCTGACTCCCTTAGATCATATGAATGATTTTCATTGAAATACACATGTCATCTATACTTAACTCGCGTTAGTAAGCCAAATATGAGAACGGATTTTGAATATGTATATTTCATGCACTCAGTGATTCGGAAGGGCACTTAGGGAGATGAAACAAATAGAGAAGAGTGAGGCAGGCCAGAGCAGGCTTGTAAACCACCTCGATTCAACCAAGCGTTAACCAATATATATAGCCAGGTAAACATAAGCTACACATATGCGATGAGTAGGATAAGATGTGCGCACACATACGCTCAACTAAAAACAGCAAGAATAAATAAGGCAATAAGTGACAAGTTCAAATTTGTGGTTTAGTAAAAATGAATGGATTAGCGTGTCCGGAAGCTAAAATAAACTATGTGAACTTAGCATACCGCATGACGTTGCACTATCCCCCACAGACCTATCGGCTTCACCAGTGCACTAGTTAACACATTAGACGTAGTAATCAGAACGATCATCATGGTTTTTGTTTAAACAAACAACGCGTGATGCAGTACTGTGCGCTGTGCGTCCCTTACAACAACTAAACGGCATAGATAATATAAATTTAAAAGCTTCGAACATTTTCGCCGCATCTATTCTGACCCCTTCATTCCTTTATTCTGATTCGAGCAGCTTTGAGATCTTCGGTCCAAAAGGAGTTACGACAACAATGCTGTCCAGCACTGTATATTTATGATATCGTTAGGGTTGTCATACACAAGTAACCTCGTGGCAGAAAAAGACAGATGATCAGAGCAATATATTAATAAGAAGCCGGTAGAAGTCAGTTATGTCGGCCTAACTTCTACCTTCGGTCAAGTTCAGCTTGACTGACTAGAACGGAAACGGAGATTTGCGAATTTACGAATTTCTTCCGAGGTTGACTATGAACCTTCTGGGCTCGTAAGTTGAAGGGTGCTCAGACGGCTTGATGCAAATATGTCCACCACGACTCACAGAGCTTTTGTGAGGTCTGAATTTTAAACCTGTTGAAGATACCACCAGTATTGTAGTTTGACAACACTTTATCAGTAACACCTTCTTTAATCAAATCGCGCTCACTTAGTGAAATCAAAAGTCGGAAGCGAGGAGGTTGGAAGATATATTTGATAGGTTATCAAAATATCGAGAAGTGACTAACCTAAACTATAGTGATCTGAGGAGACGTTGGGCACGCCGTTCCAACTGGTAATGTGGTGCGGACGCACGACCGAGCGCCTTCAGCTAAATGAGCCTACTAAAACTGTGGTCGGCATCCAATGTCGAGCGATTGATTTTGGGGATTTGTTTACAGCTACAATGCGTTCGGACCTCAAACACTGGTTCAAATGTTGACTTACCTCCTAGACCATACGAGAGTTAGCTACCTGTACAATTCTGGAAATCCATAGCCTGTCATATGAAATGATACTTAGGAGCCACAATTGTTTACACTATCCCTTTGCAGATTAAGAGATGATTTGATTTTGAGTTATGTAGTACTGAGAAAAAATTTTGAGTCACGACAGCTCAGACAACATAACTGACGATTTCACTGATCTTGGATGAAAAATATCCCGGTGACATACATGTTTTCTCACACGTTCATGAATTCTTTGGACGTACTACTTGAAGAAGTTGGGTTCAAGTCACACTTCCTCAACATTAAGCATTCATGAAGGCTTACTTGAAATGTAATAACAAAAAAATTGAAACGTTTTCTTTCGGCATGCTATTCTGGAGCCGAAATAAACTGTGTTCGAAGAAGAAAGAGAACATGGATTTCCTCGCTTTTGTTATTGCGTGGTATTCGTTCGGGGACTCAAATTCAAACCTTACGATGAGCGCCTCCAATCACTTAACCTTTACCCGTTAGAGTATAGGCGTCTTCGAGATAACCTTCTTATGACTTACAGTATCCTTAATACTTCTGGCGCTCCCCTTATTAATATTCTTAAGCTTAGTCACAACAATAACCTAGGAGGTAACACCTAGAAATTGGAGACCCAACATAGCAGAACAGACTGCAAACCCAACTTCTGCTCCGTTAGATTTGTCAAATGCTCGAATTCGCTGCCGACTGATCTAGTCCAAGCGACTTCCTAATAGTCCTATAAGAGGAAACTTGACTTATTCTTAAGGACTAAGAATAACATATTATTTTGATTTACCAAATTCCTATTTTCCTCTATTATCGGTAATATACCTAGGTTCTTGCCTGGGGGTATTGGTGATCCACTGCTACTAGACACGGAAGCCCGTTAAGCAAAAGCTCCTTCTATTCCGTCCTCAACCATTTGCACGGTTTGGCGCGCTGTATAAAATTATTCGGTACTGTCAGATTGCGAGGGTGAGCTATTGCAGACGATCTGATGAAGATATATCTCATTGTGGTTCTTATATGCATGTCAAATAAAAGGCTGACAACATTTGGCTGGTTGATTTCCCGCCTTACTTAGTGACGTGCTGCACGGAAAAACTTTAACTAACTGCTACATTACAATGAACAGTTTTCAAATCATAACACACGGTCACCTCTAGGTTTTTTGTTTCCGATCTTTTGGAATCGGTGTTCTGTTGGTAGTATTTTGGTGAATACTGGGCTGTGCATCAGCCTACTCTTTCTATCGTTAATCTTCAAACGTTTTAACCAGCTTAGATAGGAAGATAATCAGTCTCACTACTTGATATGCTTCTGATTTTGATATCATCTGTAAGCAATAGTATCTATGACCTAAGGAGGCTTGATTATATAATGGCAGATAATTTATTAGGAAACCTAAGGTGCTGTCTTAAAGTACATTACAAGTTGCCGATATCATTCACTCAGTGTCTCGCTCGTCGTTATTACCTCTCTTCGGCTACGAAGAAAGTTTAGTCCTGTGTGGTGCATGTTACTTCAGAATTGGAAGACTCTGATGTTATGGGTGAAACTCTTCATCCAATGCCAGGCGGAAACCTATGATTACCGCATCTACAGACAATGCCGTATATTGTGCTGCTGTCCAGTGCATTTGTGTAATTATCCCGTACGTTGTTTAATAGTGGGCTTGAAAAGTGCTATATATATATAACATGAAATACTATTGTAGTTGGGCTTTCGTAAGAGCATCACGAAGAGTATTTGATTTATTCGAAGGCGGTCACATCTGAAACCAGCACGATTTTCTTGAGTTTAGTGTTCCTGTATTTCAACAAGTCATCTTATAATTAAACGTTGCAAACCAGTGACGGCTCTTACATTAGGTTTGTTCAAATTCAGTATAATACCTTCGGGTAATATTTCAATACATATGGAATCGCCAACGTAATGTAGTAAAATTCAATCGTCGCTTCGGTTGTGTCGTATATGTGTGATTAATACTAATCTCATGTACAGTGGCTTTATTTCTGACACCTGATTTCACAGGCCAAGATCGTGTGTATTAAAATTTGCACTGTATATTTTTCATGTGAATTCTGATTAAATGCAAAAACTTTTTGTCTTGTGGGCGTTTCCATTCGTTTTACAGATGAATAAGCTATTGCAGTCTATTTCTGACAAGTTAAGACATTTAGAATCAATTGCGACACCAGATGCGGTAAACTATGTTGAAGCATGCCTCAAAGTACAGAATCAACAGTTGTTGCACAGGATAAAATCGTTAAAAGAATCAGTTATTCAACAGGAGCTACTTCTTGGATGTTAGTCAAGTTAATTAATGTCTTTTTACAAATAGTAAACCAACAATATCATTTACCATCTGTTAAGGCTGTATCCAGTGTTTCTAATTTAAATGGAAATTCACTGGAAATCGGACCATTGTCTGAAAAAAAACTAGTGCCTGAAGGTTAGTTTCTAGTCTTTCAGCCTCTATTGATCCACTTTTTCCAATGATTTAATCCTGTGTCAGGATGTGAAAATGAGCTCATTTGATTTCTAGCTCTAGATTCACATTTAGGTTGACCATATTAATATCTGTCCTCATAATATATAGCATTCAGCGTGATGTCACCGTTTTTTGCTAAGCTGGTTTACTGTTACTGGGGCAATATTGGATATTGTTTGCAATTTAAGACCTGATACTTCAAGATGGTTACAACCTACAAAATGGGTGTAAATATTGAAATGAGACATTGGCAGTAATTATAAGTTTAGTAAGTCTAAATTACTGCCACTGATGGCCTTGCTAATACTGCAGGTTTTAATGAATTTAGTGTTGTTTTTTTTCGACAATGAGACCTCTTTTCGGCGTACTGATTATCAATTATTTATGTTCACAAATATACAATTTTCATCGGTAAAAATCGATGACATTAACGTTGTCAGTAAAAATAATCTAGCAGACTGAATGTTACTGTGCAACAATGCCTCTATTTTTTTCGGTGCATATGGAATCTGGCTCTTAAATGAGGACATTCAAAATGTTTTTTATTGTCATTCTCCTAACGGATTTACCCACATGCGATTGTAGCCTCCAAATGCCCTGGTACAGTCGAGAGTGGGGAGAGTCCGTTCTCCCTCTCGAAATGCTCTCACATGGTCACGTGTATATATAGACTCTGCCAGGGAAGTCCTACTCACCGCTTCTCGTGGCGGGAGTGTTGTTTACGAAATTGAGAGGACGAAAAGCGAATATCCGGCGCTTTAAACGGGTTAGTAGACACGGAAAGTCCACCTAGGGGAGTTGGAAAACCCCGACTCCAAACCAATAGTGCACATGGGCTGCAGAATCCTGAGGGGAAAATGGCTTATGAATCAATCGTTGGTCACTGGCTACCATGGGACTGCATCTCCTTAAGATGCTCCACTGCCTTGTGGATCAGACCTTTATGTTGAAGGCTCTGAGTGTGGTCCCCTAAGAAAACCGACTGCTTCAGTTTGAGCACATGGGCAGTATCACAGCTCTCACAAATCAAATGAGATTTGTGCGGCGCATATATATCTGGTGCCCCATTGTACCAATATTTATATTTAAATAAATAAAACATGTGGTTGTAACACCGTGCAAATAATGTTGAGACTTTATTTTTTGATTGGGTTCTACGATAAGCTAATTATCTTCACCATTTTCGGAATCCTGTCATGTTGGGAATAAACCGTTTCCTCAAATGTTTTCCCAGTATTTGAATCGCACATTGGTTTGCCGATGTGGGAACTGGGCGGAGACAGTAGGAGTGAGTATTTTATGGTGTGAAAAAATTCCTATGAGAGATTGTTAAATGTTGGCCAGTCACAATTCTCATGGGGGGGTCTCAGGGGTCTTGCAAGTCAGTGACTCAGACTGAAAAGCCATGTTTATTTTGTCTGTTGTCGCATTACACTTTTCAAAAAGGTAAATGTAACTCCGTAGCCGAATGAAGTTGATGTTAATTGTTTTTTCAGTTTGTCTTGATCGTTAATTGGATACTAGTCTTTTTAACTTTTCTTTTTCTTCATAATACTGTTATTATGTGCGTGGCTTTTTTAGTGCCGCTTAATACCGACATAAAAATCTTTTCCGGGGCTAGTAATAGAACTTCTCATTTTGTGGTTTATCATAACAGAGCAACCCGAACAGAGGACAGAGGTACAAACAGACTCACTGAAAACTAAAAATCCGAAGACCGAACGTAAAATACCAGATGGAAAACCACAACCTGCTGAGAAGCCTGTTGATATTGGTCGTCTGGATCTACGTGTCGGTCGAATTATAGATGTAAATCGACATCCTGATGCTGACTCGTTATATGTAGAGAAAGTAAGTGGTTTTCTGTGTCATCTCTTTAAATCAGTATTCATGTTTTGTGCAATGTGTTTAGTCTGTCCACACTTTGTGTTATATATCTTAAAACATGCTTTTCGCCATTTTATTCAGGTTGACTTGGGTGGAAGTGAAATACGCACTGTTGTCAGCGGGCTGGTGAAATATCTGCCTATCGAATCACTACAAAATCGAGTCGGGATATTTCTCTGCAACCTTAAGCCAGCAAAAATGCGTGGTGTTGAATCAGAAGCAATGTTGATGTGTGCAAGCTCTCCAGATACATGTGGAGTAGAGCCTTTGATTGTCGAGGGCCCAGATATACAGTTAGGTGATTCAGTTGTGGTTCCTGGAACTAGACGTGAGTAATAACTATTTAACTGTCCTTAGTCTTTCGAAAGAAAATTAAATATCACGCTTTAGTTGTAGTTAACTATCCTTACATCTGATATATTTGACATTATTTGGTTATTTATCGTGCTTAAAATCATTCTTAGAGCATTGACTTAATGATTATTATTAACGCGCTCTTGTTATTATAATTAGACCTAATCATTGAAGCATACATATTTGTAAATAGTACATACATCTTTCATAACACGAACTTCTACTTCACATTCTTTAGGTTGAGGTAATTCTTTAGAATCTAATAAGCTTCCCTTAGTGGCCTTAGGCTGATTTGTATTGTGTATTTAGAACATCTAACTCATTAATTCTGTGCGTTGTGGTATTTAATTGACATTTGTAGATATATACAAGTTTAGTTGAACGAGTTATCTAAATTGTTTGAAATAAACAAAATAACTGAGGCCACTACAGAATACGTAAAGTTTCGCTAAATCAAATCACAAACAGCCCTGTTTGCCTTCAAAATGATAGTATAAATTGTTTAATGACTGCAACAAAACATTCTCGACATGCTAATTGTTTTACGACCTTAAGGACTGTTTTTAAACTGACTAAGCTTAGTGATGAAAGATTTGATCAGAATCAATGAATCCATTATTTTCAGTCTAGTTATCTTAATTCAGACGTCCTGAATTCATGTAGTTCTATTCTTTATTCCATCTGTGGGGTTCTCTGAATTTAGTAACTAGTTATGTCGGACAATTTGACTCATATGTCTTATAGTGACCGGGAGAAAAGCTAGTGACAACCATTTCTCAAATTAACGTACTTTAACAATTTTAAATAGACTAAATATATTCAATATTTGGATACCTATTATTTGATTATGTTCAACTACTATGTTTGTGTTAGTTTCTCGACTGTCTTGGTTTTATAAATTTTAATTTTAGTTGACTGCTTAATCAGTTGCTTTTTCCGTTTTTCAGACGATCCTGATGACCAACTTAATCCCAAAAAGAAAATTTTTGAACAAGTGAAGCCAGATCTTAGAGTAAACGAAAACGGGATCGCTATGTATAAAGATGTTCCATGGACACTAAAAGGGTCTCCTCTTGCTGTGATTAAATCACTCAAAGTCAAAGACGCTCAAATAGCTTAGTCGCTAACTGCACCCTTTGTAAAATATGCTAATAGTTATACATATTGTTTTCGGGAATTATTTTTCTAGTTATAATTTAACCACTCGAAACTTCTAGAACGTAAGTCATAAGTGAATCCTTTGGAATTTCAGAAAGATCCTCAGTAGCAAGTAGATTTTGTCAAATGTTGCTTTTAAATCCAACGACATACGTTATGATAGATCCGATTTGGTTTAAAGCATACATTTTCAGCGACGTAATATTAATGAAGTGACATTAATGAGTCATAGTGCAGTTTCAAATGAAACCCAACGGGGTTTTCGATCTTGTGAGTTTTACACTACACTTCATTTACTCCTTGAGTACCTTCAAAGCAGTTACATGCCCACTATATTTCAGTTATTTAGAAATTCCCGTGGAATGCTCAAGAACATAAAAAAACACTTGGACAAACAACTATTTTCAGTAACATTTATTGCAAGCTCTACAGTTTAAAACCTACAAGTATTGTATTACATCGGATAGCATGCTATGGAATGCACGTAAAAGTCTTCGATTGATTTATTTGATGTTATCAATTGGAAATTATGGTTTTGACTTCGGTTGTCTCAAGTATTATCGAAATGCGTCAATAGCAAATTTTAAAAATCTCACAAGAAGCAAGAAATTATTTTTTACATACCTTTGCCTTCTCAGTTCTAATCAGTAGTTCACAATCGTACAAAAAAGTTGATACTTTCTAGGCGAGATGTATTATTAGTTATTGTAGCTATAATAATAGCAACAATTATCAATAGGGATATCATGTTACTTACTTACGCCTGTCGCCCCTCGTAGAAGGCCGCTCACCAGTATTCTCCATCCAACTCTGTCCTGGGCAATTCTTCCCGATTGTTGTTCAAGTCTTCTTTCAATTCTCGACGCAGTACGTTCTTTGGTCTTCCTCTTTTCCAGTCCCCTTCAGGATTCCAAGGCAGTACTTGCTTCATGCTGTATTCTGATGATTTCCTCAATGTGTGTCATATCCACTTCCAGCGTCTATTCCTAATTTCCTCCTCAGCTGGAAGGCTGTTGCTGATGTTATCCGGCCAATAGACACTCAGTATCTTACTCAGACAATCGTCTATTAATACTTGTACCTTCGTGATGATGGTTGTGGTAGTTCTCCGAGTTTCAGCTCCCTACAGTAAAACCGTCTTGACGTTCGTATTGAGGATTCTGACTCTGATATTGGTTGACGGTTGTTTTGAGTCCCCTATGTTCTCCAATTGTAGAAATGTTGTCCTTGCTTTGCCTATCCTCGCCTTTAAATCTGCATCCGATTCTCTTTGTTTATCAATGATGCTTCCCATGTACGTGAATGTTTCCACCTCTTCCAGAATTTCGCCATCAAGTGTGATTGGGTTGGTGTTCTCCATGTTGTATTTGAGAATCTTGCCTTTTTCCTTGTGTATGTTAAAACCTACCGATGCAGAGGCTGCTGCTACACTAGTTGTGTTCATCTGCAATTGTTCGTGTGTATGGGTTAGAATAGTTAGGTCATCTGCAAAGCCCAAATCGTCTAATTGATTCTGAGATGTCCATTGTATTCCGTGCTTTCCCTCAGATGTCAAGGTCTTCATAATCCAGTCAACCACCAGAAGAAGGAGGAAGGGGGAGACTAAGCAGCCTTGTCTGACTTCGGTCCTAACTTGGAATGCATCTGTCATACATGCACGACGTCTCACTGTAGTCCGTCGTATGAATTCCGGATGATGCTGACTATCTTCTCACGCACAACATAGTGTGAAAGAAGTTTCCATAATGTTCTCCTATACACACAAATGCTTTCTCATAATCAAGGTAGTGGCGACCTCTACTCAACTAATTCTTCCACAATGATCCATAGTGTCTTAATTTGGTTTGTGCACGACCGACCCTTATAGAATCCAGCCTGTTGATCTTGAAGTTAGTCAACTACTGCGTCTTTCATCCGGTCCAGCAACACTCTGTTGAAAACTTTTCTAGGTACTGACAGTAGTGTGATGCCTCTGTAGTTCTCACATTTGCTCATATCTCCTTTCTTTAGTATCGTAGTGAGGTGTCCTTCCTTCCAGTCCGTCGGCACTTGTTCCTCCTCCTAAGCATTCCTAAGTAGAAGGTGAAGCATGTTCGCAGTTACTTCTATGTCTGACTTTAGTTGGTATATTGTCAGGCTTGCTGCTTTCCCATTCTTGATTTGTCTGATACCCATCCTGATTTCTTCTGTCGTTGGTGGAGTGAAATCTATGGAAAAGATCAATAGGTGCTACTTCTATGTCCTGTGTATTCAATGGGAGTGGTCTATTCAGCAGTTCCTCGAAGTATTCTACACACCTTGTCCTCCGTTCTTGAATCTCCGTGATTGCATTTTCTTGTTTGTCCTTGACTGGTCTCTCTGATGTATTAAATCTCCCCGGCAGGTTCTTTGTTGTTTCATATTCCGTTCTTTTGCAGCTTATTCCGCTGTCGGTGCTAGTCCTCGCATGTATTTCTGCTTGTCGGCTTTAACGCTCTTTTTCACTCGCTTGTTTGGTTCTGCGTAGTCTCCTTGTGCCTTCACTTTCTCTGCTCTTGTTCGGCTGTCGTTAATTACTGTCTTTCTGTTCTTCCTTTCTTGAATCTTGTCCAGGGTTTCTATAGTTATTCATTCTTTGTGATGATGCTTTTACGCCTCAGCATCTTCTGACACGTTGAAGTTAATACTATTTTGATCTGTTCCCAGTTGTCCTTCATCATATGACATAGTTCTGTAATATCATTCTGGGTCATTTGAAGTTTGTCTTCAACTGACGATACCTAGACGGCAAAAGACTTCGTGATTTCCAGGATGCGGTCAACAGATGCAGCCAGTTCGTAGACCATCATCGAAAGTTCTTTGGACAATAACTTCCCTCATTCTTAGTAGCATGTCTGTCGCAGAACCATGTCGCAGGTCGATATCAATAAGGAGTTGATCTAACCTTTGTCCATCGGTTAGATTTGCGCGTTTCAGAATCGACCGTTTTAGGGTTTCGTAAGGTTCCGAAACATCACTAGTAAACATACTAGGCGTGACGTGCCAGTTGAATTTGCGCGGTAGTGCCTTTAAAACTGCAAGGGATTGTGCGCGTGGAAAATTCATGCAATTCTCAAAGACGTTGTTCTCTGCGTAGCAGAACCAAACTTCGGTATTGTCGAGTCATAATGGCATTAGTTAAAACGAGGGTGGTGAAATAGCTTTTTAACTCAAGTTCGCAGTTGTAAAGACAATCTGTCTGCAGACCACGAGGGACGGGTGACCTCGACTGCTGCTGGTATCAAAAACAGTATGGAAGGTCTTCCAGAAATTGCAGGAAACCCCGCAATTATCCGAACCAAAAAATGAGCGACTCGAAAAACAATTCGGGAAACTTCCTAGCCGACACGTCTTAACGACAACTGTAGCCGGCGAACACAGCCGTCTGTTATAGGTCACAGATATAATCAAGAACGTTCGCTACCTGATAAACCTGAAAGTTATCATTCTTCCTCAGAATTCTAACGACCGCCTTTACACTTACAGGCGGCAAACCGAGAGCCAATCGCCAGACATAGTAAAATGTACGTTTACCTAAACGTGGGCTTACGCTAACCCATTCACTTGATTTTCGTTGTTGCAGATGTTTCTTTGCCAGTCATTGGTATAGACCACCTACCACGTCGCAACCTACTCATCGATACGCGCAAACGAAGGCTAGTAGATGGAAACAGCAAGTTATCTGTTTGCATAACTTCTTCTTGCGGTTGCAAATTATCCCTAGACACAATTGGACATACAATAGATGCATTCCATCAACCATTACTCGATTAGTACTCTGGGATATACCAACCGCAACAAAAATTGCCGTGTGTAAACAGCAATGTTACACATCACATCACGACTACAGGACCACCTGTATTCTCGAAAGCACGCCGAGTGGCCCTCGAAAAACTGAGGTTGGAAAAAAAGGAGTTCAACCACATGGAGGTATTCGGCTCACAGGAATCTCCCATGCACATGGTATTTAAAAAGGGCTGATTGGCATCCAACTGGTGACTATCGTTGACTAAATGCGAAAACTATTCCTGATCGTCACTCGTTGCCTCACATTCACGATTTGGCAGCTACCTTGAAAGGCACAACTGATTTCTCGAAAAACGACTTGTATAAATCGTATGACCGAGTTCCCGTGGTTGTTTACGATATTCCTAGAATTTTTATCGCCACCGCTTTCGGTCTCCGCGAATTTTCGCACATTCCTTCTGGCTTAAGAAATGTTGCATAAACTTTGCAGAGATTCGTAGACGATGTCTTTCAAGGTCTCAACTTCGTATGCACATATGCAGAGGACCGCTTCGTTGCAAGTCCGGACAGTAAATCTCATCTCCAGTAACAAGACATAGTGTTCGAACGACTGCTAAACGCTGCATCACTGCAAACATTCAGAAATGTCAAATAGGCACCGACTTTCTAGATTTGTCGGACATATCACACATGCGCAAGTCACCCGGTCTCTTGGAAGCAAATCGGCGGTCATTCTAAATTACCCAAAACCGAATACCATCAAGCAGTAGCGCACATTTAACGGTCTTGTAATTTTCTATACACGGTTCATAACGAAATGTGCTTCCTTGTGAAAATGGTAACCGACCAACTTCGTGGAAATACGAAGTTCAATTATCTGGACAACACTGCGCGAAGAGCGTTCTCCACAGTTAAGGAGCGCATCGCAAAGGCAACAATGCTGGCACATCAGGACACTCAAGCGCCTATTAGTATCGCCGTAAACGCATTCAATTCAGTAATCAGAAAACTCTTACAACAATGGGTTAATCACTCCTGGCAACCTGTGACATTTTTCTAGAGACGGTTGTTAGAAACCGAATTGAAGTACAGCATTTTTTGTAGGAAACTTCTCGCTACGTATTGTGCTGTATGGCACTTTCAACACTCTATCAAAGGCCGAGAATTCACTCTTTTTTTACTGATTATAAACTCTGATATCGGAAAATTGAGACTCATCAAGAAGTCCTGGAAGCTCAAAAACATTCTGACTCAAA